GGGGAGATGCCTGGGAGGAGGCGAATGAAAGTGTGTGAGGCCCCTTCTTTCAATGATTGCTTCTTACATTTGAACTCTGTACCAGTGGCAATTACAGTCCTGATGTTAACGCTAAACAACAGGAAGCAAATATCTGTTGTAGGGGTAGCTTTTGAAAATGAAGCCTACAAGCAGCAAACCACATAATTACACTTAAGTTAGTTGACAGATCCTGTGATGCAGCATGTCTTGGGCTGTTGGCTCCCAAACTCAGGATGAGCTGTCAGTGCCCAGCGAGGCATGATGAGTGGTCTCAAGAATGGCAGTAAATAGTCAAATGCATAATGACTATTTGTGAGAAACTAATTTGCATACTGTCATTATAATGACCTTCTAATAAATTTTGATTGTTTATTGTGTTCTTTTAGAACCAGAAGTTTGGGAATGGCTTTCTTAAGTCATGCAAGCCCCTCACTTCCCCCTTCTAGTGGGAAACATCAAGCTCAACGGTGAAGTCCAAGTTACCGCTGTTTATTACATCGTTTGATGCTGACTTGTCACGTGTTTCTACCCCTACCTCTCTATTTCTGCAGAATTGTGTAGACTGTCTGTGGGGAGAAAAGAAAAAAGTGTGGTGCCATCCTTACTTTTTCATCTGATCTTCCTTTTTCTTTCTTTTTTTCCTCTTCAGACCCTTTCCTGACTCCAGTGATTTCCCTCACCTGCTAATCTCTAGTTTGTGCTCGCATCTCCTTCCAGATTTGTCATCTTCACCCTTTACCGTTCTCTTTCTTCTCGCAATAAGACCATGATACAATCTTTCGTAAGATTAAGCAAGATCAGCTTCTTCTGAACTATTGTCGCTTCTGCTCATTCTGGTATCGTTGGCTGCACTGCCTGGTGGTAGTTTTCTTTCCTCCGGTTCCATTTTTGAGGCTTCTGGTTTTTGTGTACCAGTGCAAATACACGTACTTTCTGCAATTGGCATCCTTCTGCTGAAAGTCGGTGGATTCCGTAGTCTTTCTCCTTGCCTTGTTTGCCGTCTCTGACATGGCAATGGTGTTCTCAGGTGACTTTGATTGTTTTCTCCTCATTCTTAAACACATCAATCTGGTTTATTTTTCTAGTACTGTAGGTGAATGTTTTATTTCCTTGTGCCCAGGTATTTTCATTCAAATATATGAAGGGACTATTTTGGTACTAATAATTCTTTGATCTTCTGCTTCATGTCCATCTTCTCTTATTTGAAGTATTTGATAGCTAAATGTTCATGTTCACAAACCAAGCGTGGTTAAAACAAAGCTCTTAATATTCCTTAATCTTGATTGATCTCTACAACAGTGTTGTCTCGAAAATACTTCATTGTGAGGTGTGAAGCTAGTTATTCTTTGACACGCAGTAGACACAAGTACCTAGAAAGAGGTTTCAGTCATTCTTGCAGATTGTTTTTGCTTAGCGTGTTAGCTTTTCTTGTCTGTTCACGCAAACTTGCTTAGACTCTTACCCGTTTGATTACCGCAGCAAACCTTCTGGCCTTGAAAAGTGCTGTTTGTTCTGCTTCTGTCCTTTCATCTTACCAATGCAAAGCTCTTTTAACCTGTCATTTTTACCACGGCACCCCTTTGTTTCAATTCATTCATTGTTTTTTCCTTTTCCAGCAGTGTATATATCTAGATTCTGATGTCCCTCTTAGTCTATTGTCTGTCTTAAATCACCACTGAGATGTCAATGCTGCCTCCAGTAACCATTCTGCCAACATCTTTAAGCCTTCAAACTATTTTAATGGATGATCTTTCTGTGATGCATTTCTTCAAAGCTACAAGCATTCCCTCTGATATTCTCATAACGACTTCCTTTTCATCATTCTAATTGTTCCTTGAATTTTTTCCATTCACTTGTCTTTCCTTTTTCTCTAGCGAGCTGGTGAAACTGTACACCTGCCTCTTTGTAGTGGCTTGATGGCAAGCTGTATCATGGCAGAAGAAGGTTGTTGGATTAAGGGGGTCCTCTGCTACAGAGAAGGGGGGTGAAGGATGAGGTGGTCCCAGTGCCACTTTCCAAAGAAGTTTGTACTGGGAAGTTTCCTAGGAAGGGGTCCTGGTCTTGGCATTGCCCGTCATCATGAGAGGAGATGAGCTGGTAAGTGCGGAGCTAATGAAGAGGAGGAGAGAGTAACTTCTCCCTGGCCGTATGAAGTTTGATTGACTTCGTCACAAAGATTTAGTGATATTGTGATAAAGGCTTTGGGGACTGGCGTTGTGAGAAGTTTGATCATTGAAAACCAGGATTTTGGAATGGTAGGCACAATTGGTATTGTTAGTATTGTATAAAGTAGTTACTGAATGGCATTAGAAATTTTCTCTGAAGTCTTTGGTATGTTCTTTGTTGGTGTTCTAGCTGGATCACGTCTTAGAACTGACACTTCACACATGTGGCAGTGAAGTATCATGGAGAACTAGACAGCTTCCCGTCAGGCACGTATTCGTGTAAACCCGAACGGTTTTCTCATTAACTTGCTGTTAATACACAACTAGTAATTTGTTTGTATGTAACTTGCTGCTGAAGCAGCTCTTTAGGTGATAGGATCTCCTTGTGAATGAATTACTTTATCACCTTTCAGTCATTGAAAAGGTACAAGTTTTTCTCAGGGCTAAAACTTGATGGCTTTCTTCACGTTCCCTTTCAGGAGGTGCCTGCACCACCTCTGTTGGCAAACTCTCTCCTTGGATGCCAAACACGATTTATTTTGCTTTACGACATTGCCAAGCACACAGTTCATGATTGTAACAAGTTTATTGTGTGTAACTGCCTTAAACATGCAGAAGATGAGAGAATCAAAGCAGTTCCTTTCAGAGGAGAAGTATCATTCCTTTGCCAGACTCGTCTGATGCTGACATTGCTTCTGTCCTGTTTCTGGGTTTTTTTTGCCCTGATGCTGCCATTCTACTTGCCTTACAGTAGCTTTTGGAGAGAGGAAGGTCTGTTCTTCCTTTGAGGGGACACGCTGGCGTGCACCACTGTCCCTGATGTTTGTAGGCCCTATAAACAAGATCTTTTTCTCCATGGTGATTTACTTCTGGTAAACTAGTGGATGCAAAGATAGCCTGAGTGATTTGGTTTGGGTTTTTTTTTTTGAGATGCCCTAATAATTCACACCCCCAAGTGCCATAAAGTACTATTTAATTTACAAGATAAAACTGTCTAAATACTTCAATAATTTTTTGTTAATGTTTTTTGGAGTTCTTTATAAATATTTTATCTACATTGCAAAGTAGTTGGGCTGCCTCATGATTTTCTTCTTCCTGTCATGTGAAAATATGCTACTTTTTTTCATTTCTGACTTGTTACATTTGCTTTATGTGAAGTACCTCAGCTGAGGTAGTAAAATTACCTAATGCAGAGGGTACCTTATTTCTATTAATGCCACAAGGGCTTGGGAAATGCAGTAACACGTGCTCTGCAAACAGAAAAAGTTTGTGCTTTAAATATGGTGTATGGGATTTTTATTTCATCTTAAATATGTAAAAGGCATTCTGCCTTCCTGTGCCAGCTGTGGAAGTACTGCCTGGAAGTAGCCTGCTTACTCATGCTATAGGAGACAAAGATAAAGGGTTTGATGGTGAATGAGAACATCAGATGTTTTGCTTCATAAAAAGCAACTTCTCAAAGTTTTGAAAAGGAGGCAGAAGTATCTTTTTTCCTGATGTCAGTTAGATTCATCGTGACATCACTTGTGAAGTCTGGCTGTAAAGGATCCAGACGTGTTTCTTGTACTTTCTGACATGAAGTGTGATTGGACTTCGCTTGTGGGATCTTTTTTGGAGGTCAGCTGTTGGTGTGGTAGCTTGCTCATTGCTTTCAGTCTATTCCTAGCTGTTGGAAGAGAAAAGAGTCTGATTTTGTTACCAACACCTTTAGCATTTTATAATGCTGCAAATTGCGTGTATCTCTTAATATGTTTCTTTAGCATGATTATTCTGCTCTTTATAACTTAAATAGTATTACGGTGAAAAAACATTTTTGCGGCCTGAGCTGTTCAAATAAGCATAACTAAACTTAACTTTGAACTTAAATTTTTCTTGACCCTCAGATAAGCCTTTCACAGGCAATAAATTACCACTCTGAATATTTTTGGTGAGTTGACAACCTAATTGCTGTTCTCCTTTTTAACACTCTTCCGTGTTCGCAGGTATGATCTACTTTTTCTCTCAGGTGATGTATTATAATGAGTTAAAGTCAGAGCAGTTCTTCTCAATTTGTATGCTTTTAGTGTTGAAGATTGCTTCTTCAGATCCAAGCAAGGACTTGCTTGCCTGGAAGCTTCTCAGTGTTTTTTTTTCTGCCTCTCATAGGTTTCCATGTAGTCAGGCACTATTGCACTTTTAAATGTAATTTGGAATAAATGTAAATAGAAAATGTTTGAAACAGTGTAAATGTTTATTTCTAGCTTTAAAAATAAATTCACCCTGTAAGAACCTGGCTACAGCAGGTCCAGTGAGGACTTGAGAGTTATTTTCATGACATGGGGCCTGGGTTCCTTCTAACATCTAAAGATTAATTTAAGTCACCGCGATGGTTGGTGGTCTGGGTTGCGTGACCTGGGAGGAGAGGCTGAAGGAGCTGGGCTTGTTCAGCCTAGAGAAGAGACGGCTTCAGAGGGGCACGTTTGGAGCTTTCTGGGGTCTGAAGAGGTCATTAGAAAGACAGAGCCAGGCTCATCACCGTGGTGTGTGTTGGAAGGACAAAACACAAAAGGTGAGAGGTGGAACGAGATGTTCAGACTGGATATAGGGAAAAGTTTTGGGTGGGTTTTTTCTCACTGTAAGGACAGTCAAGCAGTAGAAGAGATCACCGTGGGAGGCTGCTCAGCCTCCATCCTTGGAAGTTAAGACCAGACTGGATGACCTGATTAACCTGGTTTGACTTCATAGTTGACCTTACCTGGAGCAGGAGGTTGGACCAGAGACCTCTTGTGGCCCCCTCCAACCTGAATTATCCTGTGCTCTTACGGTAGAGACGCAATGGTCTCGGTGATAAAGGAGAAGAATGCTTTCTTGGCCTTTGCCACTGCTCTGCTGTGGGATTCACTCTGTGGGCCTGGTAACTGTACAGACAAATGGCCTCTGCAGTATAGCAGGGTTTTTTCTCTCCATTTTGTGCAGTTTTACCTTGTCTTTTCTTTTCACTCATGTGCGCTTCAAATGTGGTTTCAAAAGGGACGTGCGTTTTGCATCGATACCCTCAAAATACCTGTTGGATTTTTCAGTAATGGGTCATTTCATGCTGCGGTGAAGGTTTAAAACTTTGTATTGCCAAAATAACTATTGTGGCTGCTAGAGATGCCACCAGCTGCTGTGGTTGCACTGGTGTGAAGGGGTGGAGAGGTAAAACGAGGCCATGGTTTGTCTAGATGCAGGAAATACAGTTGACATCGGAATTTGGTACAGCTACAGATGGTCATGTATCTGAGTTGAAAATCTCACATTAAATAATATATATGACTTGAAGATGACACCTCGGCCTGAGCCATTGAGATAGTATTTTCTGTTTCTGTGTTTTGGTTTCCAAGGCTTGCTAAGCGAGATTCAATAGCACATACATTTTTCTGACAGCACATAGGGCATATATTGATAGTTAATGACTCGACAGTGAAATATGTTAAAGAAATTTAGCCTGTGAAAGCCAGCTCTTGAGGTTTTTGTAATTATTCATGCAGGTTGAAATGTCTGAAACTTATGAATAAACTGCAGGAAGGAGTTCTGTGGATTCAGTAATTTTTCAGACTGGTTTGACTGCCTACCACCATTCAGAAGAAACTAAGTGGTTTGTACGAGTTCCAGATCTTCAGATTGAGGACTTACCGTCTCTAAGACAGTAATTACTGAAGGTCTGCTTTCCTTCTTACATGCTTGGGCTTTCTCAGAACACTTTTACTGAGACTTGGTTAGAAAATTGACATTGTTTCTGTATCTCCAGCTTCTTGTTTTGCCTTGTTTCTGTCTGCTTGTCTGGAGAAAAACCAAGTGCGTTCCACAGTTTTTAAGAACTATGTGCTGTGTCCATCCATCTCTTAGATGAAGAAGATCTTATGTTCTTTACATGTATTGTACCTGAAGTCTGAAGGTTGGGTTTTTTTTTTTCCTTCCTTTATCCTGCTTTATTTTCCCTTTAACTTGGTGACAGTTCTGTGGACCCTACAGATACATTTTACTGTAGGTCATCCTTCAGACACCTTGGTGGAATGGAAGCATGCTCGCTAAGTGAGAACAATGACCGTCCACCTCTGATGTTGGCTAGTGCAAATGACAGTGCAGTTCTCATTTTGGAGTAGCACTTAATAAGCTACCATGCTCACCACGTGGGGGGAAAAAACCCAACAACTACCTAACGTATGCATTTCTGTTCTACAAAAATAAAACCTGTTGTGGTTCTTCAGTTCATAGGAAAACATGGTTTGTGTAAGTGCTTTCGTAGGAAAGACATTAAATACTAGAGAGCTCTTTATCTAGTACGTAAATGCATGCAAAAAACATAACTAGGAATCAGAACTGAAAGCTGAAGCCAGACATTTGAATGGGAAATTTGGCACTGGAGCTTTTTACCAAATGAGGTAATGGATGATCAAGGGCAATAATACTTCGCTTTTAATGTCTTCAATAATTGATGTCTTTGCTGAAGATGTTTCCCCAAAACAATAAGGCTCAGAAAAATATGCAGTGTTTAATGAAGGCGGTCAGGTTAGACAATCTGGTGATCCCTTCTTGCCTTGGGCTGGAATTAGGGAAACATGTCCAGCATTGTGGTCTTGTTGCAGGCTTTAGAAAGGACGTGGTGAACAAGCGTTCCCCTGTAAAGAACGTGCCTGACCAAGCACTGGTGTAGTTGGTAGCCGTGAGCGCCTGCTGTCTCGTGGTCGTTCCTGGCGGATGCCACCATGTCAGTTGGTCTTGCAGCCAGCAAGAGGAACAGCGAGATTCCTAGATCTTGAGTACTGCAGGACTGTGTTCCTTCAGCGGATAGAAACTCTTGTATCATAGGATCACAGAACGCTTTGGGATGGAAGAGACCTTTAAAGCCCATCCAGTCCAACCCCCTGCCACGGGCAGGGACATCTTCAACCAGATCAGGTTGCTCAGAGCCCCGTCCAGCTGGCCTTGAGTGTTTCCAGGGATGGGGCATCTCCCACCTCGCTGGGCAACCCCTTCCAGTGTTTCACCGCCCTCGTTGTGAAAAATCTCTTCCTAGAGATCTGAATCCAGTCTGAATCTGCCGTCTTTTAGTTTAGAACCATCACCCCTTGTGCTATCGCTACTGGCCCTGCTAAAAAGTCTGCCCCCATCTTTCCTGTAGGCCCCCTTTAAGTACTGAAAGGCCACAATCAGGTCTCCCCGCAGCCTCCTCCTCTCCAGGCTGAGCACCCCCAGCTCTCAGCCTGTCCCCACAGCAGAGCTGTTCCAGCCTCTGACCATTTTGGTGGCCGCCTCTGGCCCCGCTCCAACAGCTCCATGTCCTTCCCGTGCTGAGGACCCCCGAGCTGGACGCAGGGCCCCAGGGGGTCTCCCCAGAGCGGAGGGGCAGATATGTTGCACAAGAGTGTTATCTTTTCCACCTTAACTAACAGGACTGGTCAGAGTTGGTTTTACTAGCTGCTTTTCCCAGTCTCATTTGCTGTAGCTGGACACAGTCTCAAATATTTTATTTTTTTCACTCCATTTTCTTCTTTGGTTCTTCCATCCAATAATTTCTTTTTTTCTGTGAGCTTTCTACTGTTCCTGGCATCCCTGTTCTTTTTTTCGGAGTACTCAGTTTTCTGTCTGAATTCGTCTCCTATTTTCTCCTGTTCCTTTACATCAGCTCCTTTGGCTCCCCATTCTGGTCTTTTGCAGCCATCCCGTGTTTCCCCTGCACTTCGCATTGCTGTTGGATCTGCTTTTTTTATTGTTTGCTTTTTTTCTCTCTCAGTACTTCAGTCCTTTATTAAGCACTAAATGGACAAGTAGTTCTTTTCTGTTCAGTCCTCTTTGGTATCTGTGGAATTTGGTACAGGAGTCTCTTGTATGTTGTGCATTACACAGTCAAGTCCCGCTTTCGGGCAGATCTCCAAAAGGGAAGGGCACTAATACAGCATTTTATTGACTGTTTTGGCAGTCTTGGATAAAAGTAGTTTGGTAGAATGCACGCTACTTGTTGCTGTTAATTACAGCATTAATGAATACCGAAGTATCCCAAACGTGGTCTAAAGAAATGAGCATCACTTTGGAGTAAAAGGTTAAAAGCTTGGACCTTTTACCAGCGGAGCCTCCCACCGGCAGGTTCTGCTGCGGCCAAGGGAATCGGAAGGGATCCCTGGCTTCTTTCAGCAAACTCTGGTTTTTGGGACAGGTATAGCGGTTAAGTTTTTGTTGGTGACCTTAGTTAGTAGATTATTTTACATTTCTGAAGTAATTGTCTGCATTGTTCTCATAAGCATTTTTAAGATTCATCAGTATTTGATGAAGAACTTAGAAAACAAAGGGGAAAAAGAGCAGGCAAAATGCTGTAGTAAGGAGCTTTATTTCAGGATTAATTTTACCTTTTGTAGAACAAGTTATGCCAGTCTTGCAAAATCAGTCTTGCAGTGTTTTTGCCGGGTTATCCCTCTGAGTTAGACCCACAGCAGAGCGGAAAGAGGCTTTTCCACCCTCACAAATAAATGCAGAGTTCTTGAAATAATTTTCATATTTTTTAATGTGTTTGTCAGGTGAAGTTTCACTTTTTCAGCTAAACTGATGTAGTAGCTAGCAGTTCCCAAACGGACAATCTCATCCCCTTTTCCTTATGTGCAGACCCAAGCGCTTTACTGATGCTGCAGCTGATTTATGGAGGGTTTTGTGATACTGTCTTTTTTTAAGTACAAGGTAATTGTTCTTGATGGCTTTATATTTCTTTTTTATGGTAGCCTTTCAAGTTCTAAAAGTTTTAAGAATTCTAATTTTCTTAAATGTCTGGGCTTGTTTGTAAAATTGAATAACTGCAAAGGTGGAACTTTTGCGAAGAAATTAGCCAAAATACCGCTTTCCCTGAATCCCGTTGTTCCACAGCAGTCTCATTCTGAAGACAGACTTCAAGGCTGTACTCATCTTTAGCCCTGCAAACCTATAGGAGGGTTGCTGCCTGCGTGGTGTATGTGCAGTTTCTCTTCAAATATAAGTCACGCACGTGGTGTATCAGTTTGTTTAAGCTCTCAGGCCCCCCCTTTTTTTTGTCATTAAGGACATTGAGGTGGTTTTGAGGGCGTTAAGGACAACATACACTCATTCTAGAAATTCACTCTGTTCTTGAAGGCTAAATGTTGATGTGCTTATTTAGAAAATAGCGTCCTGCTAATATTTGAATCAGAACTTCAAGTTGAAAGCAAACGTGCTCTTAAATTACACAGAAAAGACTGGTCCCTCTGTAATAATATGCACGGAATATTTCGTTTAAATTGTACACCTGCAAATGTTGAAGTTTTAGGACCTTTCTAAATGTTTCAATGATGATGAAATACAAGTATAATCAAGCGTCAGAGGTAGGTGACCTTTGGGAAAGGGGTGTGTGGGTGTGTACAGCAAAACTCCCTTTGCGTTAATGCATTACTATGGGGAAGGAAAAGCCTTTGCCTGCAAAACTTACATGTGTTCAAAAAGTAAACTACTGCAGCAAAGGGCCTTTTCCTCCTGATGTACCTAAGTATGGTAAAAGTATGGTTTGAAATAGATCTGGAGGGAGAAGACAAATAGCTTTCAGATATCCGTTGCATTGTAGTTCTTAAAACACTCCTTTTTCCTTTTGAAGATCAAGTCCTTATAATTATATGTTACCAGGAGCCGGTGGAAACAGTTTGTGTAACTGAGATATAACTGGTTTAGGGATTCGTTGTTGGTAGAAGCATCGCAGAATGTAATATTTTCGTATTAGTCAATAATGAATGTGGTTGGAAAAAACCCAATGATTTCTCTTTTTACAGAAAAACCTGCCATTGCTCCACCAGTCTTTGTATTTCAGAAGGATAAAGCACAGAAGGTAAGGAGATGTTGATTTGTTTGTTTGTTTGTCTGTTTGTTTTGTAGCCCTGACGCATTCCATGGTGAGCAGCCGTTTGTCTATATTGTTTTGAAGTTGAAGATGGATAACAGAGCATTAACATTATTAATGGGCATAGGGTGAAGAGGTGCTGGAGGGCTAATGGTGGTGGCATGAAATGGGTAGCTCTTCAAATAGAAGATGGACCAAATCTGTGAGAAAAACTATCTTCAAAGCTGTATCTTGAAAGGAACAGGTGGCAGAGGAGTGCTGACAGTTGCAGTTGCATGAGAAAACTACAAAATTTCTTTTTCTGATAATAGAGTTAAGACAAAGCAAAGCAAACCATGGTCTAGATGATTGCTTTACACCTCAGTATATTTAAATGTCTGTCACATCTTTGGTTAGTAAGCTGTGAAGTGTCTAATTACCTTGGAAAAAGGTGATCCTGTTCCCTCACCCGTCCCTCTACCCCTGCCATGTGTTCCCGTCCCCTGCCGTGGGGTCTGCGGTAGGGCTCACACAGTGTTGAGGTGAGTTGGAGCTGTGCCGTAACCTGGAAGGTGTTCGTTGGGTGAGCTTGTGTTGAACCAAGAGGCTGATACCACTCACCCTGTGACTGCAGAAGGAGTAGAGCTCAGGAGAGAAATTAGAGTTGAAGGAAGGAGGAGGACCTTCCCTTTAGCAGAAACTGCTATTGAATTGAAATAGATGTAATGGAAAACCATGGCCATGTGGACTGAGTGCAGGATAGTTGGCATTCCTTTTCACTTTGAAAGGGACACTCAAAATGCTATGGATGAGTGCTAGGGTGTAGTTTTCTGTACTTTTTTTTTCCAAAATGTAAGCCTGGCAGTTTCTTATACTGTAAAAATATTTTTAGTAAAAGAAATTGATAAGAATCTCAATATATTGTGGTATTTAATTCTGCCTGGTTAATAGTAAAAGCTGTTAACATTTTTTGGGGGGAAAAAAAAGTCAAGGGTACCCTTGTTTCAGCTGAAGCTGGTGGGAACCAAGAGAAGTGTACTCATGTACACGATTCACTTGTTGTTGAGTCACTGGATTGTTGTATTATCTGTGTATCAGAAAATCTTCTTAAATGTTTGAATAGAAATACTGAACCATTTTGGCGTTGGTAGCTTTTCTTTGGTTTGGAACAAGTACCAGACTCAAGCTTTCTCACGGGTTTGGTAGGCATATTCCTCAGCAGGAGCTTGAAATCTTTTGTCAGCTTGGAAAGGATTTAAATCTGTCATTCTTCTAATATTAGCTAATCAAATTAAATGTATCTTAGAGAAAATACTTCAGAGACGTTCCTTCCAATTACATTTTTTACAGTAACCGTTTACAGGTACTTTGGAATGAAGAGAGTGCTAGCGTTTGTGCTATCAGTTTGCATCACGTCGTTTCCTTCTAGGAGACAGCTCCCAATCACCCGCTGTTGCTTAGGCTGTTCCTGAAGTCCCTTCTGGGTTGCACCATGGTGAGTTTTCTCCCCAGGTATCCTTTAACCTGGCAGTGCTTCCACAGTTAGTCTGGAAGCAGTGATCATAGCAAGGTGCAACCCAGGCAGAGCGATGTGGTCCTGTGTCCTTTGCTGGCCTGGTCCTTCAGGGCTAAGCTGGGAGGCCTCGTGCTCTCAAGCTCCTTCACGTTGTACCTTCTGCGTCTGCACAGAGCGCATACCTCCAGTGGCCTGCACACAGTCCATGCCTTCAGTGTTAGGCTGTGCAAGCGCCTGCGTTGGGCTGTGGGACAGATCCGTTGCACTCTGGTATGCCTCAAGAAAATATTTGTAAAAAATCTTAACTAAAGGCTTGATGTCTCTTTGGGCTGGCAGAGAGGATCCAGGGTTCCAGGGAGAGGGATCTGTGATTTAGTCTTCCCAGCTGCCTCGGAGGATGCTGAGGACTATGGTGATGCTGCACAGGTAGCTGTGTGTAGGACAGCCTCTGCTGAGGCACAGCCAGAAAGCCTGTCTGGTAGGGTGGGCTGGAGGGACCGCGTGCGACGAGGCCTGTGGGTGAGCCAAGCATCTTGAGGGCAGAGGGGTTAGAAATGAGTTAGGAATTGATCTAAATACTAAGTGGTGGCGGTGCTCAAGAGGGGGCTGGGCACGGTCAGAACGGGTGCGGAATAGGTCTAGCGTGGCTGGGGAACGGGGCTTGTTCCTTGAAGCAGATCATGAAGAGTCTACCAGTGGCATCTGTCACTCGGTTGCCAATTTCCAAAGTGTAAGAGGTCTAGTAACACACATAAATGCTTATCTTAAAGTGTGTAATGGGTGGAGATGTGCGATTTTCTTAAAAAGGGGGACAGGGTTGGTTAATAATAATTTTAGTAGCTTACACTGTGTGTATTTGAGACCAGAGAAAAAGAGTGAGAGAAGTGGTGCTGTGCTTTTTGCCGTTTTATCAAATAAAGAGCCAAAGCCTGCTTGTTGCTTGTGCCACTAGCTGGTTTTTGGAGTGTTGATACAACAGGAATAGAGTCAGACTGCGGTGCTGTCAGCCAAAGTAACAGCCGCTTCATACGTGTGTATGTATCAGAACCTGGCATTCAGGCCAGCCGAGCGTCCCCTTGATCAGCTTACTCCAGAAAGGGTGACCGAGGTTACGCACTGGTGGGGACCTTTCACTGTATTTTTGGAAAGACTAACAGCCAAGCGTTACAGTTAACGGTTAACTCCATTACCATTCCCTGCCACAAAAGGTTATCCTTATTAAAGTTAACAAGGAAAATCTATTAACAGGAGTTTTTCCTAGAGCAACGTTTTGAAGAAAATGCAAAAGTAACTTCGAAACAGTTGACAAGCAACACACTTCTGAACTATGTAATTTCTCTATGTAAATTACAATTTTAATTTAGCAAAATGTCTGTCTAGTCAAGTTGGCTTTCTTCTGGAGCCGTAAGCAAAGTGTCCATGGAGGCTTTTCAGTGCCAACCCAGCAGTCCGACAGCACGGGGAGAGTGGGGAGGAGGCATGGCGTTGTGCATTCGATGGGCTCTCCGTGATGACCGTTCGGGTGTTTGCCTGGTGCTCTTCCGCATCCAGCAGCGCATCCTGAGCAGAATTATTTTGCTGCAGTGGCTACAGGCCCTCTCGCTGTTAGGGCCGGGTTGATACTGTTCAGGGGTCTTAACTGACTTTTCTGGACCAAACTCTGTCTACTATTAAGTTAAAGAACATCATTTTTCTAGATATCTCTACTTAAGTTTGTGCTTGTGAGGTGTCAGACATCTATTTCTCCATTAGAAGCTGGAAAATATTCAGCGTGTTGCAGGACAAAATGTATACTAGTCTGGAAACTGCGTTTTTAACTGGTCGTTCCAGCTAAGGTTGTACACAGTTTAGTAAAAGACCAGAACCTGCAGTTTGTCATGTTTGTTTGGAGGGGACAAAAACTGCATGGTGTTCAGAATGATGCCTCTTTAATTTTACTTTTAGTACGGAGGTTCTGGTTTTCTTTTGCAGTTAAAAAGACAGGATTAGTGTATCTGTTCTGATTTTCATTATAGATATCAATTAATGGTGGATGTAAAGTTGGCTGCTTCCACACCTGTTGAGTGAGTCTCCATTTTCATTATTTTCATATCTCCCTAACTCTTTGAGAACCATTTTTAGAATGTGTGAAATAGAGAGTTCTTGCAAACACCTGAATGATAGCATCCAAATATCCCCCTTGTTTATACACTGCTATTCATTTTTCTGACAAGAGCTTCTACTGCTGAGATTCGTTGGAAAACTGCATCAGCTTAGGAAGACTCATAGCTGTTAAGATCTGAAAGCAACATGAACTCCTAACCTTGCTGTGCTAAGCATGGAATATTACTGTTACTCCATTATCTGTCCCGATAACTTATACATGAGCTATACTGTGCTTTTCATAGCGCTTTGGGAATGAAAGATTTCTATTGATAGAGACAACGTTTTCTATGATTGATTTTTGTCACTTGTTAGACTTGTGTTTCTGCTCTGAAACTCATTTTAACTTTGGCCATAAAACCGTTTCATGACAGTTTCTGGCCATAGGTTACCTGAAGTCATGTTATGAAGTTAAATTTTAACATGCATTTTTGAGGTCGAAGCATTCTGAAGTCTTTCTTGCATTTACATGTTGTTAAGTAGGTATAATAGCTCAAACAAATTTAACCAGCGGTGTTGTAAAGAAACAATTTGTCCAAAAATGCTTATAAAGTAGTGTCCTTTGGTCTGCAAGTGTGAGTCGTGGTCGTCTTCCAGTCATTATTGACTCTGACAGTACTAGGATCATCATGACTCCCTAGTCACCAGTAGTACAAAAGGTAGATCTCAACTCGGATTTAAAAAATATTTTTGCAGTTTAAAACGAGCCATTGTCTGTTGCGTAGCTTGCACCTTGTCCTCTTCCCTCCGCCAGCCTGGGTTCGGGGGGAATGGTAGAATATAGAAACGAACGCTTTATTTCTGGCTTGTTGTAGAACTAGTTTTGGTCGGTGTACTGCTTTCTATAGGTGAATTGGTAGCGGTGAGCTTTAAGGATGGCTCTGAGGGAAGATAAGTTATGTGATGTTTGGGTCATGTCCCATACCTAAGTGGTGCTGCAAAATGATGCAAAGGGTTTAAGGGGTAACTGGCACCTGGGTGGGAAAGGTAAAGGGGTAGTTCTGGAGTGAACACGGATTGACGCCCTTAAGTTGTTAGATCTGTCATCATGGTCTTAACTGTGGAGCTTTAAAAATAGATGTGGAGTTGTAAAAGTGATTTAAGTGATTAGGAAGATGGCATTCCCATGTAGTCTGGAGAGCAAGATTGAATTGAGAAAAGAGAAAGTTGTATTAGACAACACATAAAAGTAGGGATTGGTTGAAGTCCTGGTTTGATGTTGTGTGATTTGGAAGTGCCTGGGTTTTGGTGGTTTGAGGAGGTGGGCGATTAGAAAATGTTGTTTGTGCCATGGGCATGACTTGTAGGGTTAGGATGGTGGCAGAGAGAGAACTGTGGAGGAAGCAACTTGTGTAGGGAGAGGTAACAATATCTCCTCTTCCAAGCTCTCTTAGCATCGTTAGCACAGCTGCCGGGGGGTTTTGTTAGGGAGACCTGGTTGAACTGTGTTACGAGTCAATAGTATACTTAAGGAGTTCAAATTATCGCTTAAGAGTTCATAATTGTAAATATATTGCTACACTGCTGCACTTAGCAGAACAATTGTAAACGTATTTGGAGAGGACGGTCGTGCAAGGCAAAGCTTAGAGGAATACGGAGAGGCTGGTAATGTCTGAGGCTACTGAGAATACCAACAAGAGTTGTCCTCAGCTCTGAGCAGGTGAAGGTTGTGAGAAGATACACAGAGTCCTTTGGGTATGGGTGCTAGTTTGGGGAAAATGAGGAAAGGAGGCATAAATAGCACAACTTAGAATCGGGAGGAAAAACCAAGAGTGTTTGTGCCAGTCTGTAAAAAAGGAATATTATTTCCTTGCCTATATTTGGTGGTTTTAGCATCATGGTAGTCTTAGCTTTTATGTATTTCTTCATGACTCTCCTTATTTCCTGCAATGCAGAGGAAGCCGACTCTCCAAGTAGACTTTTATGTATTTAGTGTAGGTGTGTTATTTTTGTGTTTTAATAAAACAGATGTTGTTTGATCTGGCTGAGCAAGGTGAGTTTGTGTAGGTGGCTTCCTAATCTCTCCACTGATCTTTGCCTTAGTATTTAGGAGACAGGAACAGATTTCTGCCAGGTTCTCCCTGGAGCTGTACTTGTAAGGAATGTTTCCTCTGGAGAGGAGGAGGCTCAAGGAGCGACACCGGCCAACACAGCCATAAAACATTGCAGCAAAAAGGAAGAGAACGAACTGTTCTTCACCAGCTCCAAAGAACTTTGAACAAGAACTTAGATCAGAATTTGTGAAGTTAAGAGATTAGAAGACACTTTCAATAGTAAGCATGACTGAAGGCTAAAATGAATTTTAAGAGCTTGCGGTTTCCCTTGGATGTGCTTTTTTGAGAACAGCTGTACAAACTTCTGTCTGGAGCAGTTTTGGTTTGACAAATCCTTGAGGCCTTTGTTGGTTTTGTCTTCCATGTCTTAAACCGCTTGCTATTCACAAAATTCTGAAACTTCCAGTAATTTTGGATCCATTTAATATATTGATTTTTTAAAAAAAAAAATAATTTTATGCATTGACCTGTCCAAGAAATTCTCATCTTGGCGTCAGATTTTTCTGCATAGAAGTGGTGAGTGGAAATAATTATTATTTTTGGTTTGTTTCTTTTCTGAGTCTTGGAGCACATATTCCAGTTTTGCTTAGGACGGAAATCAGATTTATGCCGGAAGGTTACCTTGCTTATTGCCCTTTTTAAAATACTTGTCATGTATTACAAGAATTACTAAAATCTGATGCAAGTTTACTTAGCCTACTTTGAAATGCTCTAAACTGTATTGATACGAATTACTTGCCAAATAATTTATTGTCATTTCCACTTTTAAGTATATAGCACAAGTGTGCGTTGAATGTTCTTGCCTCTTCTTGCATTATGAGCAATTTTATGATCTGTAGCTAGAAGTCAGCGTAAATTACTGGTAAGGCTCCTTTTGTTTTTTCTTTGAATTTCTCCAGTTGCTTGCTGAACCAAGCACGTGAGCTCCTACCATCCGCGTGATCCCCTGAGAAGGGGGTCAGCAGGATGGGCTTTTTGTTCCTTTAGTTTCGTGTTGGTTTTTTTGAACCTGTTATAGACTGGTTTAATTTGATGCCTTCCAGCTCTCGCTCTGTGGGAGTCACTGCATTGCCCTCCTCTACGCCACTCATGATTTCATAGTTATATTCCTGCTCCTTTTCCCTCCAAATTCTGTGCGTTATGGCTGAGGAATAATAAGGTATTCAGCTATTTTTATGTGGAAACACTTATGTACCCTCTTCCTATGCATTATTTTGCTTCTTATGGACACTGAATCTTCTTAGTCATCTTCAGCCCCAGAGTCTGTCTGTCTACAGTTTCCCAGTCATTCCCTGTTGCTTGCAGATGCCCGGGGATGGCTAGCTCATCCCGAGGTTCATTCTGGCTGGTGACAAGGATGGTCTCCCCCGTCCCCGTTCCCTAGTACCCTTCTGGTTATAGCTTTCAGCGTTTTTCCCACCGTGGTTTTTAGGGTCCCGTCCCTCCCCTTCCCCCCAGGGTTCTTCAGAGGCCGTGTGAGTAACGGTGGGGTTGTCTCCATCGCCTGTACTGCGACGGACGGGGTCTGTGATCTGTTCAGTCCTACTGCAGTCACCTCTTCTGAGGTGGTGTGGAGAGCCCGACCTCCGGAGGAGCGGGAAGCTGAGCAAAGCTGGTTATGCTGGCAGCTCTCTTCTGATCACCAAGCCGAAAGCTTGCCAATTCTGATAACTGTTGACGAGGCGATAGAGTTTAAAATGTTAAAACCTTTCTGAATGTTTCCTGAAAACTGGAAACCTGGCTGGATCAGCGAGACCCAACTTACCTCCCGTGCCGAGGGAGAGCCGCTGCTGAATGCGCGGCCCTGCGTCTCTGCTCGGCGCAGGGGAGCTGCCTCTGGCCCGGGGATGGCCGAGGTTTGAAGAGGTGTGGGGGAGAGGACTGTGCCGTGAGGTACGTGGGGAGGGTTTGGGGTAGCGGAGCGAGAGGACCAGAGGACACGTGCAACGTAAGCCATGAGAGAAATCAGATCTTCAGTGCGGCTGCTTGCATAATTGCTTTTGTGGTTAGTGTGATGCCGGTAACTTGTGACTTAATTCTTGTGCTTTTTTTATGTCTGTCTCCCCTTGAAGGGGAAGAAAACAGTTTGAGTGACGTTTGGAATGCTGTTAATTTTGGAAGTGAGGCTTAGCATAAAAAAGGGACTAGGAGCAATGGGTATAAAAGGTCGAGTGGAGGACTGAGGTGTTTACCCCTTGTCTTTACGTATGAATAACACACATAGGTTGTAAGAGCTGTGGCCAGTTCCAGATAGCCTTTTCGTGCTGTCCTTCTGAGCCAAAGAGGTAAGAATAGCGGAGTGCTAGGCTTCGTTTAACTTTTGGCGACAAACAAAAACGTTTCTTTAGCTCTTCTCTCTCGTTCTGTGGGGTTTTAAGTTAGTGATTGGGTCTGTTAGTAAAAGCTTCATATTAAAACCAGAAAACTTTGAAAATACAAAAATACAGCATCCCCAGCTTTATCTGACATTGTTATCCCCACTGAATATATTTTGACTATTTTGAGCCTTAATGATAGTCATTTCTTGCAAAAATTTAAAACTTTGAGTAACTTCATCGAACTGAAATGAACCTGCTGAGACAGTTGGGTGTATTGCTGTCTTTTAAGAATTGCTTCTCTTTGAGGACAGGCCAAGTCATAGCTGAAGAGCTTTGGGCCCTTAAGATTTAAAAGCTGCTGTTTATTTTTGAGGTTGCTGTTTACTCTTTTGCATGGACCTGGGAAACGATGAGCATTTTTAATCTCTCTTCATTCTGCTGAATGCTTTCGGAGAGCAAGCCAAGGTTGTGTGCTTCTTAGTGACATGTTTGCCGAACGGCTTGATTCCCAGATACTTCACCATAAGACACAGGAGGCTTGGCCCACAGACCGCGGCTGGGAGAACGTCCTTGGCCTGCGTATTATCCCTGGACTATAATTTAGTCCTTTATCACAATACAGTTGTTCAGGCTCAAATAACTTTTTCATTCTTCAGACATGTGCAGGATATGGTAATGCTTAATTTTTGTTCTACAAGTGGGGACCTGCAGCATTAAATGATCTGAAGAAATGTAAAGAGTCTGTGGCAGAAGTTCAGCGAATATCAAACCCCGTTAGTGTGCACTAGCTGTCCTATCGCCCCACTCCTTCAAACAGACCTGCAAACTTGTTGATTTACAAAAGAAAACATTGGTGTTGCTTTTCAGGTAATTCACCATCACATGAATATGAAAGGATTGTGTCTTGTGTGACTGTTATAATAATGAATTTCTGTGGAGAATTTGATAATCAACGCCACCTCCCTCAAACGGGGTCTGAAGAAGCAGTGAAGGACAGTTATTTACAGTAATTGTCTAATTCTTATGTCTGAATGTGGGGGTAAAAGCAATTAGCTGTCCTTTCGGCCTTGAGAGAAGGAGGAGTTAAACCCCAGCAATGCCGTGGCTGGCAAAAATGCTCTTTTGCTGGGGACACTGACATTTTTAGCTAACTTTCAAAAAAGTGCATTTGATCCAATGGTTTTTGTGGGGAGGGGAAGCTAATTCAGCGAGCAGGTTCTGGTACCTGGTGTGTGCGTATTTTAATGGGTGTCTCAGCAGCGAGCAATGCCTTCTGCCATCCTGTGAAGTCAGTGGAATTTGAGAAGGGATTAGCAGATCCTCTCACTAGGGCACCGCTCTCGTGTTGCAGCCTTGCACTGAAGGGACGTTGTCTTTTTTGCTCCCAGTCCCCTGCAGAGCAAAAAGGTTTGTCGGATTCAGGCGAGGACTCCCAGGGAGAGGTTGAGCCCCCCCACCATGGTCTGGGTCACAAAGAATCAGCTGGCGAGCGCGACTCTGAGCACCCTGCTCCCGCTGTTGCCTCAGTCAGTGCTACCCTGAGTCCCGCTTCTGAAGCCCAGCTTGCTCCTATTCAACAAGAACTGGCAGGGGTAAGTGTGATCCTACCAAGTACTTCTGCTGCTGAGGGGATGAAAGAAAAAAGTCCCTTCTACTAGGAGGACTCTGTTACTGTTAACTTTAGGTAGGGCAGCTCACTATCCGCCTGGTTCTCTGATCTCAAGCGTTAGTCCCCTCTAAGCTGTTGTTTCAATGAGTAGAAATGAAATTTGTTTGGGACTCCCTGGTGGGTGTAATTATAGAAGACACGTCAAGTATTCCTTTTAACATTTAGGGTGTAAACTGTGTGTTTGCTAAGGATAAGAGCTCTTCTAAATGAGTGAGGAAGCGGGGAGAGAGATACGTATGAGGGATTTGCTCCAGGCAGGCAGAGGAGGATCGCGTATTCCCTCTGAGCCGTAATGCTGCGGCTTGACAAAGCGAGCAGCTGATGCTGTTTCCACTGCACATCAACAGGAGCTTGTCGTGCCAGCCTGTGGTGTGCCTAACAGATTAAAAGCAGCAAGAAAGATGCTAAAGCAGAATTTTGAATGTAGGTACTTGGAAAAAAAGAATCAGTACCTTGAGGTAGGAAAAGCTGGAAGTGCTGTTAATTTGAGATTTTTCTACCGATGCAAATATTTTGTTAAAGATTAGGTGACTAAAAGACTGCTACCATACAGTCTTTCAGAGCAGTTTTAAGTGTTCATAATCCTTCTGGTTGGCGGATCGTGTGTTCTTGGTGCAGGTGGGTGTCACTGCCCATTGTGACCACACACAGGAGACGCGTACTCTGACAGACCTTTGCCTGTTAAGGCTGCTCCACGCGGTACCTGCACACTTTTCTTGCACTAGTATTTATTTTTTTTTTCCAAGAATGGGCCGTTTCAAGTAAACTCCGTGCCAAATGGATTGTCACGACAAGGTACAAACAGCTGGAGGTTAAGCACCTTTCGGTGTCCAGACTGTCAGGTGTTGCTTGAGGACCTGCTGCAGAAATCTTTCTATTTCAATTTTTTTTGAAGGTTAAAGTTTTCAAGGGTTAATATTTTAAAATATAGCTGGTAAACGTAGTCACAGACTTTTATGTCAGTTTTCTATCATTTGAAATTGCTGTGTTACTGGAACTGGCCAAGAGAACTGTATTAACCAGACTTTCAGGAAAACTGCAGCAAGTGGTCGTTATCTTAGGCTTGTTCCTAAAGAGCAGAAAATCTGACCCCAGTTAACCCAGGTCTGAAAGAAATTTAAGAACCAAAAATGCTGTTGGGGAATGTATGCAGGAATTCTTGGCTGTACGCAGCAGATATATCTATGCACCCTTGAACTTCACTCCATTCACTTAAATTTATGGAATAGTACAGTGCTCAGTATAGGCGTGTAACTGGCCTTCATGTGCACTGGCAAGCATTCTTCAGATTATCCCAGTTTCTTAGGGTAAAACTGTCACTTACCTTGACATACCCAGAAGGTGGATGCATCTTCAGAGTGCTCCTACTGGTTTGCTGGAGCAGAAGGTTTCACGTCATCTTCCCAGGACCTTGGGAAGATAGATGAATTAAGACTGAGTTCTGAAGAAGAGACACTTCGTGTCTCTTATTTGCTCGGTGTTGCTTGTACAGGCACAGGCGGGTATTTTTGCGAAGACATTAAGGTGGTGTGGCCAGAGATAACGGCCTCCTGCGGAGCTGCTGCTGCTGTCTTGGCTCTGGGCCGTCTGACCCAGCAGCCTCCAGCAGCGTGGAGCCGCGCTGGCCGCGCTCCGTTCTGTACGAGTTCTGCTACAGCTCCTAAGCAGCAGCCATGCTTAGCAAGGTGCAGAGCGTCTGGGTCGCAGACTTGCTGTACCATGCTCTGAAGTCCTTTTATGTAGGACTTTTTGCATCTTAAATGTATTTTTCAAAGATAAACGCTGTAAGTGTACTCTTAGAGATTTCACCTAATTATGTTGTCCTTTTTTTGCTTTACCTGAGTTCTCCCTTGCCTTCCCTGTTTCTGCTCGTTCTTGTGAATAAACAAAACCTGACAAATTTGTTGAAGTTTGTGTAAGTCCTTCTGTTAGTTTGTTGTAACAGCTGTGTGAGGAAGTACTGGGTGTAAAGCAGCAGTATTTGTACTTCAGTATGGAATGATGAATTACTTTCATTTGCACTTTTAAAAAGCAGTTGGTAGCCTTTAAAAAGGTAATTTGGTTAATGAGCAACGAGTCAGAATTGTAGGAGCCTCCGTTTAGAAATAATTGTAACTTTTCTATAGCTGGGTTTCTAAAAGTAAGGGGAGGAGGGAGTAAGTGAAAGGTGGCTTCTGTTCTTAAATGAGGAGTCAATTGTAGGTTGGGTTTTGATGTTACTGGTTTAAGTGTCTCTTCAGCTTCTAATTTCAAAGAACCGAATGGAGAGAAGTTGAGTCACCTTAATGGCTGCTTATAGGATGAGATGGCCCTGGCCTTCATTTCTGTTGTGGAGTACGCTTGTGTAAAACACCTATTGCTGTAGAGTACAGATTGAGTAGCCTGGAAAGAGAGGCCTGGAAGGGAAAGGCTGGGCTGCTTACAGTTATCACTAGTTGGAATCTGATGGTTTTTCCAGTCTGTGGAGTAAACTGTTTTGTCTAGTCTCCCCAGTATCTCCCAAATAAGCAACACTGGTGAGCAACTTCTGGCTGTGGTGGGAACTTACTTGATAGTATGGCTTCATAAGAAAATGAAGCGTATGCCAATACAGCACATTGGTGTACCCCACCCCTCCGTGTCCTGTGCCTTTGACTCTGTCAGGTTTGACCAAAGATGCTGAGAGGGTTGGAGATCTTGGCCCTGGACTCGTCTGTGGTCTGGGGGTAGAGGCAGACTGGAGAGGAGGGACATCGTGCTGCCTCAAGCACTTGGCTTCTCGCTGCAGGTTATTCCACGTTGCTTGTCGTCTAGGTAGGACCCGTGGGAGATCAGGGTTCGTTAGATGTGTGCGTACGGCTTTATTTTCTTGAAAGCCTTTCTTCTAATGATGAAGGATTTAGGAATATTTTTCAAGATCTGTAAGAGCGAATTGGTCATTGGTGAAAGCATTATTATAGCAAGAAAACTTGAGATGTATCCAAGGTTGAGGAGACCTGATAGGTGAATGCCCAAGTAATGGGGAGCAAATATTGACAGCAAGTTTTTTAATAAAAGCAAGGAAACAGAATAGCGTGTGTCTTTGACTGGATGCCGAGTATAACAAAATTTTTAAAAAAAAACAGCTGCTGGTAGTGTGGGTAACTGCAGCGGGGCAACTTGTGCATAGCCTCATTCATTTGAAAACAGATCAGACCTGAATGTCTTAAATGCTCAGGCAGGAGTTTCAGTACTGAGGTAGACGTAAACGGGGTTCTTTGGCCTCTCTGTGCTTGGGGTTCAACCTCGGGGGTTATGACTTCTTCCCTGGCCTTTAAATTCCTGAGTCCATGAAAGATTTAAATCTGGTGGGAGCTATTTGCAAGGTCTGTCCCAGAATTGACAGCGTGAGCAGTGTGTGAATGGACAAGGATGGGAGGGAACATACCAAATGATCTAGGTGTTTAGATGCTTACGTAGGAAAAAATACATTTGAGAGAAACAGAGTCCTTTTTTACTTCTGTGGAGCATCTGCTTTGCCTGGGGTTGGCAATGTCCGTAACGGCTGTAACGCTTGTCAGGTGTCCTTTAGTCTCCTACGACTCTTGGAGCAGGGAGCATGGAGATCGTTCGGGGAGAGCAGATGCCTAGCTCTGCTTTCCCCTCGGTAGGTTACAGGGTTGGATTTGGACGCTGATGCTCCTTGCCCACTGAAGGTGGTGATGGTGTATTTTAGTTGTGCTTGCATCAGTTAATGAAATGACAATGATGTGATAATTTGAAGCTTGTGCCCTACAGGTTTGACTTTCTTTTTATCTGTTTTACTCGAGCATTGAGAATACAGCACATAGTAGGAACAGCTGAAGTTTTTGAAGTTCAGGAGGAAATCACTTATTGATTTTTAAGGATTTTTGCACATAGAGATCTGCAGTTCCATTCATGCAAATTTTTTACCAAATGGTTTCCTTTTGCTTTCAGGATTTTTGCTAAAAATTGAAATGAATTGCCGGTGTATGTGAGAACACTTTCTGTGCAAAATAGATATTTTTTTTTTTTTTTTCCCCTGACTTCAGATGCTGATTGCTGAAACAGATGACATGGTTTCCCACTTTAGCCTTATCTTTTGGGAAACTAGTGTATGTTGGCAAGGGAGATGCCTAATGAGGGTGGAGTACTTGACCAACCGTGTAGGAAGAGCGCGGATCATCAAATACAGCGTTAATGCGACTGGGCAGATATGTGTGGATGGGGGGGTGTTCCAGAACTGTCAATAGCTTCTCATTCCCTATGCTAAAGGTTTCAAAAGTACTTGACTGGAACGCTAGCGAAGCAGCTATACTTTTCTATTAATGTAAAACAAAACAGAAAACCCCTTTAACTTAATTGCATAGGCAAAATGCAGTGTAAATGGGTTTTTATTAGCATCAAATGAAATAGTAGAGTAGTATCTAGATTCTAAATATATGCAGTGCTAAATAGAAAGTTGTGTACTTTCTGGTATTCTTATATCCGAGGCATGTCTTTCAGATGATAGTGCTGTGCAGCCTTAACCAGTCCTGCCGTGTGTTGCCCAGTCCTGGTGTGTCTGCCTGTTCTCCATGCCACTGTGTGGCTAGCTGCAGCGGGGAAGGACGAGCCCTGGGGCTGCGGTGGGCTACGTCCTCCCCAAGTCAGGCAAGCTCTGAAGTGGGGCTGTGGAGGCGGCGTGTTCGTCTCTGCGTCCTGGGGCAGGAGTGGGACGAACGGGGTAGTGTGGGTCCAGTACATCGGGAGGTTTTGTAATGAGATGGAGGTGCTCATGCTGCCCTGGTCACCTTGCGTAGTGAAAGGAATCCATCATGGGATTATGTTTTGCAGGAACAAGGGAAATTAGATCAGCTGAGGAACTGGTAGAGCAAGTAGAGGAGAGAGACCTAGAAATCCTCAGAAAAGATGTGAAACTTCTGTTGAAAGACTTTTTGAATATTGTGATAGTTGGTAGCCCGTGATGGTTCCTGTTTTGTTCCTGGTACTGTAGAAGATGCTAGGAGACTGTTGTTAATTCCTGTCAAAATATCATGGTACTCGTTTATAGAGCGTGCTTTGAAAGGCATTCCTCCAACGCCGTCCCTTTGTTGAAGGAACTGATGGCAGTTACATTAATTAGGAAAAGTGCTTTGGAATGAACTCCCAAATAATGGGTATGTTCATGATGAGCTTGCAACTTCTATCATATTTTTTAAATCAAACCAAGTTAAAAAATTGTCATTTTCAGATTTCCAATATATAGAAAATTGTAACTGTAATAATTGTTGCATAGTCTCTAAGGATGTTAGTGCTTGGATATGAATTTTCGGGTGTCTTATTTGTAAATGAAATATTTTGTATCAATCTTATTTAATAGCATCTGGGTGAAACTCAATATGCCTACATGTAAGTCATAAAAATAATGCTTTGCCTTGAGGGTATATCATTGACAGTAAAGGAAAAAAATCTCCAAACTGATGATTACAACATGTGGATGTATCCAAAGAGATTGAAGTGTTCAGTATGTGATTTTTGTTTTATCGCTCTCATCTGATTTCAGAGATCAGCAGATGGATCAAGTCCAGAAGATGGAGATGGTAAGAGATTTGATTGTAAGGTTAAAAACCACAAGTACATGTCTCCCCAGGATTTTGTGCGTTTTCTCTAACTGCTTTTTTTTCTACAGAATCCGATCGAGAGGATGGGAGCTACTGTCCACCTGTAAAGCGTGAGAGAACTTCATCCTTAACTCAGTTCCCTCCTTCTCAGTCAGGTAAATGTTGTTACGATATTATATATGAGGTGGGTTTCCTTCTTATACTTTTTTTTTTTCCCCAGTCATGTCAGCAATCTTATTACTGTCTGCTGTGCTTTGGTTTAAGACCACAGCAACCATGTACTCTGACTTTTTCTAGGGTCTGTGTTAGCAAATTTAGTGAAGCCCGAAAGAGTTGATAGATGTGTGTGTTAAAATATTTTCTATCTGTAAGTTTATATATATTTGTAGTTTCAGCTTTTAATCTTCCACTGTTAAATTGAAGAATTTACCAGAAATCTTTTTTTATTTGCTGTGATCACATCGCTTCTTAGCAAATTTATATAAATGCTACCTTTTTCTTAGTTACTCTCCTGCCAGGCACATCTTCCAAGTCTCAGGTCGTGCTTAAGTTGTTTTAGTCCTTTCCTTTCCTCCCGTTCCTTTTAAAGTGGAAAGGACTCGGTGCACTTCAGCAACGTCCTCACCTGGCCAAGGCAAGAGAGAGCGACCGCTGCCTGGTTGTGTAGGCAGCCAAGGCAGCAGAACCGCTGGGAAGGCCGGTAAATTCTTGCGATTCACATACAAGGGAATGGTCACGGTTGATATTTCTGTTCACCCACAGGATTGGTCTTTCAAGTTCATGCCTTCTCTCTTTATAGACAATGAGAAGTTTTTAGCTTTGGTCGAGAATTATTTTTGTTAAGAAATGTCAGTGCTTGGCTTCGCGGTTTGGAGACTTAGCTACTTTGTTTCCATCATCTTAGTTGAAATAAAGGAGATGAGAAAAACAGTAAAGGAGAGAGCAGTAAAAAATATTCCTTTAACATACAGCACATTTGGGAAGTGTGACTAAAACATGAAAACCTAGTTATTTTGCTTTTAATTTTAAAGAAATAAGTGACTATGGAATTTAAAATGTAGTTGCTGATATTTTATGGGCACGGTACTCTCGTTTCATACCACCAGTGCTAGGCAGGGGATTAAGATCTGGATTTTCTGGCTTGCAGCTTAGCGGGTTTCAAGGTGCAGCCCTGTTGCTTGAGTACAGCTCAGGGGACCAGCGTCGCTGCTGTCTGCTGGCTGATCGCTTAGTAAAAGAACACTGCATGCACAAGAATAATGAATAGGATTTTTTGTGCCCGTAGATTTTTCTTTTAGGATAACAGAATGTGTCTAGCCTGTTAGGAGCTTCCTTATTTATTGGACCTTATATTCCCTATCATCACTATAATCCTATAATCACTAACTCTTCTAGTCTGTAGTGCCTTTATCTTTTGAGACTAGAATCTCTAAAATCTCAGATTTTGGTTAACGCTAACATTTGTTAAGAAGTGGAGGAAAACAATTTGACTCTTCATGGTTAAATACTGGATGTTTCAGGGGTCCAGTACACTTCCTCAGCCCCTGCTTGGCTAGTGCGCTTTGGGTATGGTCGTTAGGCCCTGTTTGACTCCCTTGTTCTCTCCTGATGTGTGGTGGTGTCAAGCAGTGACAACTTTGATTAGAATTGCAACTTCCATAACGGCTTCTTTGAATATTGCTGACATTATTTAATGGCCTTGTTTTACAGCAAATCTTTACTTTCCAAACCTCTTAAAATTTTTGTGTGGCTTTGTTTCTCTCAGGGTAGGGAAATTTTGCTTATATGGAACCTGCATTGTGTTTAAGCTTAAGGCAGGCCATAATAAAGAGAGAGAAGACGGAATTAAAGGAAAGAAGCAAAATTGGGAAAAAAAAAATCTAAAACTTAAATACAAAAGGCAAGTGCTGCATCTTTTAGTATAACTGTGTTCAGAGATGAGTTACCTTTCTCTTTTCAGCATACTTAATCTGCTTCCACAGCCTCAAAAAGCTGAAAGAGCTGATAAATATTGTCTTACTTTACCTCATGCGAGATCATCCTTCAGAGACAAAACCCTCAGCCTGCTACTGTTGTCTTGTGACGCTTGATGCATCTACCTCCTGCTCTGATCATTGCATTTCATAAACTGCATTGTCTGTGATATTTTGTACAACACCAAAAGTACTTCGACTGCTGAACAGGGCCCCCACCAAACTCCTCATTGCTCGCTTCTCTAGGTCCCAGCAAAGGGTAGAAAAGAAACACTCTCCTTTGCCTGTTCCTTTCACACATTTTTTGCTTTTTTGTTGGCTGTTATGCTGCTGAAGTGTGACATCTGGAAATACTCCGATGTACTCTCCTCTGTTTCTGCAGAATTTTTGTCCTTGCAGGACAGTTCAAACCTAAGTTGCCTCGCTCTTAGTGCAAACCATGCTCTTGCTCTTAAGCCTTTTGAGGAGCCCAGGTGTTAGCTTCCACTGGTTAGCAGGCATTACACTCCTTTCTACCCTCTCTGCAGAGGCATTTTGAAATGTTATACATATTTTATAGTGGTATTATACAGTCTAACATTGGTTTTAATTTCTAGTTCAGATACGATTCAGACTGGGAATCCTGTGTTTATCTTTCCTCCTGAATAAATGAAATCTGCTCTGTCTCTCTTTCAGGAGAAACTAAGGGGATTTTGTGGACAATGACCTGTTTACTTCCGTGGCTGTAATACTGTTTTAGTTTAGAAGAAGGAAAAACCTAAAATAAACAAAAGTGACTAGAAAAAATCGTTTTCAATTTGCAGCCTTGATACGTCTGGGAATGGAGTTTGTAATTAAGAACAACATACACAACTTCTCTTTATTTTTCTTTTTCCTTGACTGCAGTAACAAAGAACAACGTCTTTATGCCATCAAGCTTCTGTGAACCCTCTACAGGCAATTCTGACTCAGAACCAGGTGAGCTTCCTCATTTTTCTGCTTTTTCTCAGCAAAGTGCTGTCAGGCTGCCACGATCCAACGTACTCTGATACTTCCGAAGCAAGACCCTATCTGGGAGAATGGAAGTGGTGATGGTTCTGATCTTACAGCTGTTCTCTTCCTCATTTTGTTGCTTGATTTCATGCTTACTGGAGGTGATTAAAATAACAAATATGAAAATTCTTAAATGCTTTGGGGAGTGGTGGTGGAAGACTGCGATATGACTCTATGCCCACCTGTTAGCCTCAAGATAAAACTAACGGGAAATTGTCATTTATCTACTTCGGATACTGGTTTTTTGATTTTGAAAATCAAATCAACCATAATCTATGGTCATGATGATGTTCATATATTCATATATTCATACTATCGCTTATTTTGTTAATCACTGTTGTTCTGCTGTTTGGTGTATAGCACATTGTTATCTTATGCTTAAATGGCATGAGAATAATCATACAATCATAAAATAGTTTAGGTTGGAAAAGACCTTTAAGATCATCAAGTCCAGCCATTAACCCAGCACTGCCAAGGCCACCACTAACCCATCTCCCTAAGCACCACATCTCCCCGGCTTTTAAATCCCCCCAGGAATGGGGACTCAGCCCCTGCCCTGGGCAGCCTGGGCCAGGGCCTGACAGCCCTTTGGGGAAGAAGTTTTTCCCAATACCCAACCCAAAGCTGCCCTGGCGCAGCTTGAGGCCGTTCCCTCTCGTCCCATCGCTTGTTCCTGGGGAGAAGAGACCGACCCCCCCGGCTCCAGCCTCCTTTCAGGC